GAGCGTGTGCAGCTAGGTGGGGCAGCTCCATAACGCTCTATTAGGGTTTGTGGTGGAGAGCAGCATTTAGTAGGCGGCGCGGTGGAGTCCATATGTTAGTGAGGGCATGACAGTGAGGCACTGTGTATGAGATAATATATTCTGCTAATGAACGCTATTGGACTAGAGCAGAAGAAAGGAACAACGTCCAAACAGTTACAAGAGTGTGCTGTGTGAAGTCAATCTTGGAAAATGTCATACAGCAATAATGATATTATTATATTAAAACTGGTTTAGCTCTCATCAAACTTGGGTTTTTTATTTATTTTTACAGGGTTAAAGAGTTTCTTAGGCAGACTGTCAAAGTAAAATCCGATAAAACTGATGAACTTATATGTTGTAAATATGTTTGCTGTAGTGCCAGAGTAAGTAGTGCTCCACTTCAGACCTCCATGCAGTGCCTATATATGTCTGCAGCTCTATCATTTAGAGCAGCCATTTACCGTCTTTTTCAAATTCCAGTTCAAAATAATTGTACCTCCTACAGCGATCTCAAGAGCCTAAAATATCACGTGTGCCCTTTATTTTCCAGCAAACTGTACACCCCTCTCATGTCATAATAACTATAACCTATGTTTTAAGGGCTATAAGTAGCCCATGGATGTTTCAAAATGACTGGAATCAGTTGTTATGTGGTTTCCATGTGACAATGGGGTTTCTCTTGCACCCAGGAGTCTCAGAATCCTTCCATCTCTGAGTCTCACGGGAAATAAGGTCGATGCTCAGCCATGTTAAATTTTCTTTTAGTTACGCTTTAGTTTGTCATTTAATATGTAATGCAGGAAGACAAAGGGATCATCTGCATTTGCCGATGAAGGCAGATTATACAAAACAGCTCTCCCATAACTGCTCATATTCATTGTGACAAGCGTAGAGTATCTCCTCAGTACACAATGTCCATGTGTCGTCCATATGGACAGATGGAGGAGGCCTGAGCATGTGGCCTGACTAGGCATGGGATGGTAAGAATTTCATGTCCCGACTATCCAAAATGATTCTGGTATGCTTGTGTGCCATTTTAACAGTTGTAAGCATACCTTGATAAGAAACAAGTATTTATATTGCAAAGATAAGACAGCTCGCTCTTAAATAAGGAAATAATGAATCCCTCTGCATAAATAATCAAAACCAAAGCAACGTTGTGTGCGTCTGTTCTTTCTTACTAGATGATATATCGTCCCATCCCTAGGCCTGACAATGTTGGAGTGCTTACCAAACAATTCTGAAAACCCCTGACGTAAACCCACCTGAATGAAAGCAATTTCGTCTTTTTTAACTGCCACAACAACTGAAAAGAAATAAGAGATATTCCATTTTTTATTGAGGGCTATCAGACAGCTTTTGACAAACACATTTGTTTTATTATGTAGAGTAAAAAGTAAGAATTGTGTATTTCATTCAACTTATTAGTATAAATCATAAAGTTGGCCATTTCAGATAAGTTTGTTACTGCTGATAAAGCCAGCCAAATAGAAGAATAGACCTTTGCCTGGCCTTTTTGTCTTAAGGGGGGAAAGATCGCTTGTGTTTGAAGAGGAAAGCCGATCCAAACACAGCAATTACCCAAACTAAAACTAAAGCCGGTCCTCAAAAAATGGGGATTCCTACTTTTTTGTGTGGGTCAGCTGCTCTTGCTGTGTACACTCTCTGTCCCTAAAAACACTCTTTTAAAGTATTTTAAATAATAATCGTTAAACATAAGAGGAGTCACCATAGCATAGAACGAGACAAAAACGACACTCTTGGGTCCTTGCTAATTAAAAGGCACCACACATAACAACATGTGTAGTCTAACTTTCATTAACCCCTGCGCTCTATGCCTTCTTTCCTGCCTTCTCTCTTTCCCAGAGCAGGGAAGGGCTTCCTCTCTGCCTTTTCAAAGGTGTAAAACCATCTGGTGCAGGCTGACAGTGAAGTAGATGGGGTGGTGCATTTGGGGGGGGGGGGGGGGGGGTGGTGGTGTGTGTCTTTACTGCACGGGGTAACTACAGACTGCACTCCCCAGTATAGACAGGACATGTAGGCTGTCATCTCAAGACAAAAACCCAAAATGCACTCCCAGCCTGGATCACACAGCAGAACCGCAGGGAGATTGCACGCCAACGTGAGCTATAAAGAGACATATGTTTGCCTAACAGATGAGGGATGCTTCCATATGCTTATTCTACACTATTCAACTTTGCCAAACAATGTTATAACACATGACTGGATTTAAAACTATTAAAAACTCAAATAACAATTGAGTTATTATGTTATACTACAGGCCACTTGCCTCTTCCAATGGCAGAACTTTCATATCACTAACTTATTCCCAGCCAGTCCTGATCAAAGCCCAGCACTGGGGAATGTTGGGCTAAATGTTTGGTTCAGTGCACACCAATAAAGACATTATTATTCTGGATGATTATGTCCTTGTCCTCAAAGGCTGAAGGATCAATTGCATTATGTGCTTCAAGTGTAAAATGTAAAAGGGGAGCAGCCATTGAAGCAGACAGGCTGGCTACGTGTTATTACAAATATTTCCAGCTGTAGAGTTTGGCACTCATCAGGCAGGACCTGAGGTGGAATCGCTCGACTACAATCAGTCATTATCGGTAAATGGAGTAACATACTCAAATGTCAACTGAAAAAGAAAAGCAGTCAGACAACCAAACCTGTAAATACAAAGAATGATCTAGTCATGTGGAGATCTGAAACACATTTTCTTTCTTCAGTAAATTACTTTAAAACTTACCGCTGAGCCTGGCTGTTCGGCAGTTGTAACTTCTCCTTGACAATCTGCTCTGTCAAACAGGAAAAACACCCCACCATTCACCGACACAAAGCAGGGTAAACCGGGTTTCTCCCAACGTCTCCCTAAGCTCTTTTTAACTAGTTTAAACTTCACACACTAGCATTAAACTGACAACAACGGCATCATTATTGTCCCAACCCTGCCTCAGGCACACGTTTTGAACGCAAACATGGCTGAGTGCAGATGTGAGGAGGACGGTTAGCTGGTTTCCATTCTCCCTCACTTCTTGTCTAACCGTTGGAGTTCCCGTCTGTGGCTCCACTCACCAAACTACTCCCGAGTCCTCCTCCTCTCTGGAAAATCTTAACTAACCTCCCTCACACACCTCCCCTCTTCCATTTCTCGTCGCTGAAGTAAACGGCACTTAAAAAAACAAAGGAGGAAAAGTTTCCCTCCGAGGCAATCCCCCAATCCCCCTCTCTATCTCCATCCAGCAGCGTCGTCAGAAGCGGAGGGAGGGGTGAGGGGGCTCAGCAACAGATGAGCGAGGCCCTAGCTTTAATGAGCTAGCTGGCTATACCTGAGCTCCTGCAATAAACTCACCCTGATTTTACTTTTACCTGATTTTTTAGGGTGTTTGTGTTTGACACAAAATAAATAAAATATTAGTCACATAATTAGTCCATTTACAGAAAACCCTTGTGTTTGTCAGATGTTGTCCAACTTCCCATGAGAACACATGTGTCAGCTAAAGTTATAATTAAGACCCACACCAGCTGAACTACAGCTGTTTTGGGAATAGTCCAAAGTGCTAGCTTTAACACCACGTTCTAATAAAGGCCCCTTTGAAGGATGTATAGGTGACCAGGTCATAATTGATATCTAAATCCTTTCTTTTAAATGTTAATGCTTTCTATTTTACATTTGAATCCTGAATTGTTGTTCCTGTTTTCCATGTTAATTACTTTGTAACTTAAAGGTTTTGTAGAAATCTAAATAGCCTACAAGTGTATTAGGCCTATTAAACATGATTACTTTACCATTTATGAATAACTAATTAAAACATTTTTTGTAGAGCATAAAACCCCCAAAACATTGCTAGGTTTTTTGTTGTTTGTCGTCTTCCACTAGCTTTCTCTTGATAGTTCAGTTATCAAGTAACACAGAAACCATGACCTCTGACCTACTGGAGAAATAGGCCTACTGCAGATAGGTATACCAAAAACTATAGTCATTGGATTCCAACACTAACTTATTTACACAATAGTCCTAACTAATGGATTATAACTGATCTACGATAGTAATTGATTAATTACTTATTACAAGTTAAACAAGTTTATATGCATATTTTTAACCAAGGTAATATAGTGGATGTCTTTTTAGGACATTTTGTGAAGGCAAATTATGATTTTCTATGACTTTCTGTAGCTTTAAAAGTAGAAGCCAGATCTTCAATTCGATTTACAATATGGCTTCCATTTACTGAAAGTTTGCACGATATAATTCCTTTGTAATACATTGGCTGCCAACATTTATGCAATACAGCCTCCAGGCTTTTATGTTTTGATAAAAACAATGAGTCATCCTTGCTATTCCCTTTGATAAATGTACAGCCTGTCAAAGCCTGGTTTAGGTTATCATATGGAGACATATTGAGACAGTCCTCCACACAGACGAAGCAAGATAACTTTAATCTTAGTTTCACGAATGTACACCCACCCACTGTCGTGCTCACATGTTTAACTCACAGCAGTATCTGTGGACTGTCAGGTCTGCTTGTGGCTCTGTGGGATGGGGGCAGAGCAGATGCTGTGACAGGAAGTTACTAACATGGTCCAGATGTGGGGACAGGAGACCTCCTCCAACACCGCTGCAACACGCTGAAGACTACAGGCAGCGACTGCCCTGCACACATACATGATAAGAAAGCTCAAACAAAACATATTTGTTCATGTCATCTCTATATAAGTATAAAGCCAAGTAGATATACTGTGGTTTTATGTCACTATTCTCATTGAGCCTGGCCTTACTCACTACAGGAGGGGTTATGTTAATAAAAGTCTTGTTAAAATAAATCATTTAAATTGATGTACAGTATAAGAGTTAACATTTGATATTCTACATCCAGGTATTGATATATATATATATATATTTTAAAACATTTCACAAAGGTAACAGTTCAACTCTTAAGCACCCTCTAGTGTTAGAATGATACAGTGCAACAAAGTGACAAAACAAAAGCTGCCAGTGAGCCACAGCATTCTTTTTTTATTATCAAATAGAAATGCATGTAAATCTTAAATACCGAAGTTGACATTGAAAATGACCGGAATACAAATGCAAGAGGCAATTTTAACTAAATATTGCAACAATTAACCTTAAACTTTCAGATCAAACACATTATTATTAAGTTACGAAAACCTGTGATGCACATTTTCTCTGACAGCAACATCTATGTCCATACTGAGAATACTAAGAGAAAAAGGATGACTAACAACAAAGGCTGATGAACGATCATAACTACAAACATGCAATAAGAAAGCTCAACAAAGAAATGACAAAACGCCTACTAAGCTCCATGTATCCACCAGTCTAAAGGGCCTTTTGCTTTGGGTTATTAGGTATTTCATTAATAGTTTCCCTTGTCTGGACTGCAGAGCCTCCAGAGGGCTGTATTCAGCTCTAAGTAAAGTGAAGGCCTTTTATCTCTCCCCTGTCTGCAGTTTCTAAAGTCCATTAAAGAAAGTTACTAATCTTCATCGTCCTCATCGTCATCACTTAAGACCATCTTCCGTCTACGCTTCACAGGAGCAGAGATATCCTCCTTGTCTGAATCTGCATCCCCGTTGGTTTCAATATCCATTGCAGTGGTGGAGTCATTTTCTGTAAAGACAGTAATGTGTCGGCCAAAATGTTCAGTTTGGATTAAAAGTCAATATTGTCTGAGGCTTGTAACTTGTCTTAGACTAGTGGTCGGTGACCAAATCAAACAGACAATTTCCTTCATTAAAATGTGTTTTTTTCTAGGTTTGAAAATTGTTAAAAAAATAATAATATGAGTTAACAACTCAACAACTTATATATAACAAAGCTCTGTTTGTTTGATATTTTTACATGTGAATGTTACATATTATACCTTTAAACTAACATATGAAATGATTGATTCAATGTCAAACACGTAGATACCTTTCTCATCTTCATCATCATCATCATCGCTGTCGTCGTCCAACACTCTGCGTTTGCTTCTCTTAGTTGAGGTATTTTCCTGGGACCTGGTGTGAACAGGATCAGTTACAGAATTGAGTAGTTTTCAGATCTCTGCTCGGCTGAGCTGATTTACAAAAAACAAAGGGCGATGCCTCACCTCTCAGGTGTACTTTCTGTATCCTCAGCAGGAGTGAAATCTGAGAAAGGGAGAAAACAACAAAGAAGTTTAACAATGAAAGTAAATCATCGTAAACCTTTACTGATCTTTAATAAGCAGTGGATTTAAGCCAAAATAATTAATCTGGTATAGAATGCTGCATCCTATATCTAGTTTCCCGTTGATCCACCAGCCTTGCAGTGGCTTTCTTATGCATACACACATCATTGGCTGCTATATGAGCCGCAGCAGGCTGTTGTATGTCATTTAACACCTACCTACTTGACAGAGCTGTAATTAACTAGTGTTAACTGAGACGAGGTGCTCAATCTGTGACACATACCCGTCTGCTCGGAGGTTTGGCGTTTCCTCTTGCGTTTGAGCAGCAGAGCTTTCAGAGCCTCAGCCCTCTGTTCCCCTGAGACCCCCTTCTTGTCCTTCTCCTTCTCCTTCTCTTGCTCCTTATCTTTTTCCATCTCATCTTCCTTCTCAGATTCTCTGGCTGGACTTCTGGAGCCGTCCTGCTCCTCTCCTCCTGTAGGTTCCTCCTCTCTTGGACTAAGAGCTGCAGCCGCACTCCGCAGCTGGGACACACTGATCTTTGCTGGGATCCTCCAAAATGTCTCCTGTTTACAGAACAGTCAAATAAAAACATGTTAGAATTGTATTTGCAAATGCAGAAACTCTCTCTCAAGGAAAGCACAGAGATCAGATCAAAATGCTATACTTAGCACAAGGTGAAAGGACACACAAAAACCCCACACCTGTTCATTTTCAGGTGCTCGAAGACCCAGTTTTCGCAGCAGCTTCTGGAAGCTCTTTTTGTCCATTGCGTCTTCATTTTCCTCGTTCAGAGGTACAATTGGCACAGGCTGGGACAAACCTGTGAAATGGAAGACACAATGTCATTATCAGACCAAACAACACTAAGGACATTATGCTTTTCACACACGCTGTTAGTTCCCTGAGAGCTATGACCACTTGCAACAGAGTAAATCAACTATTTGCAAAACATTTTTCACAGTGTTACTCACCGTCTTCTTCACGGTCTTCTGCCGTTTTGATAAGACGATTCTGTAGCCACAACAAGGGAGCAGACATGCCTGGTAATAAAAAACAAAACACAATTAAACTAATCCTAACAGTACATAATAGAAACATGTTTTAGTATTGTAGTTTCACAGTCAACACATAACAACAGTGTCAAGCCCAGATCTGTTTATCTCTATGATTTTATCTAACCAAAAAGACTAATTTCAATTTGAAAAAAATTAATTTAATCTAAAGAAAGTATTATATTAATATTATTATATTAAATGTTTTACCATTTGCCAATGTCACTCAACTGAAGAAAGCACAAAGGGCCTTTGTCTCACCTTCCTGTTGTAGTGTATTCACCATGTTGCCTACATCAGGTCTCCTCTCCACTGACGAGTTCAGGCTTTGGCTCTTCCTTCCTCTATTTTGTGATGTTTCCCTATCTTGCTCTTCATCTTCCTCACTTTCTTCAGACTCATCCTCTTCCTCATCATCTCTGTCCACTGGATCATCCGGGAACCCTTGTGTTAGTTCGTTTAGGAAATCTTCTTCAGTCTGTGGCAGAGAAAGAGTGACTTTTAATGTACATTATATGCATTGTTGTCTTTATTTTTCAATTCTAAATAACCTTGTGTAAAGTGTTTGAGTAGATCTGAAATGACGCTACCATTCTCTTCCCAGAGCTCTTCCCTGGAGCGCCGCGACTCCTCTTCTTATAGAGTTCTCTTCTGTCCGACACTAAGCCCATACTGAGCAGTTTGTCCACCACACGGGCACGGGAGCGCTTGGCTGTGAGCTTCTTCAGGATGTCACCCAGCACATCTGTGGAAAAATGGTTTCATCAAGTTTTTGCTTTTTTCGGACAGTGGTTGTGAGGTACGATGATCATTTGGTGTCTGGTACCATCAGAGTCTTTGTACTCCTCGTGGAGCATCTGCAGCTCCTCCTCCTGCTCCTCAGTCCACAGAACAATCTGGGTTCCTTTCCTTTTTGGAAGAAACAAATTAATTGTAGTGTATAGAGCCATCCTGCATTACATTCCCTACACAAACAAAGGGACAGTTCACCTCACAATACCAAATACATATTTTCCTTTAACGTGTGGCTTTTATTAATCAAGATTGTATTGGTGTGGTTCAAAATATAATGGAACAAGATGGCACTGTTTCCAAGTGCCATCTTGCACATTTTGTATCTGTCCATTTATAGTTAACCATCTCAGGAAGGTTTTGAAATATATACTCTGGGTATACCATCAATATACTACTCATTCTTTCTCAAGTACATACTTCTGTTTCTTCAGTTCTTTAGCACTGGCCGCCAGACCCATGTGGACCAGCTGCGTCACCACCTGGCGCCGGGTGCGGTTGCTGTTGCTGAGTAACGGCAGCAGCGTCTCCACTACATCTGGCACTAAACACAAATGAACAGTCAATAAAATAATCTGCAAAATAAAAATAAATAATCTCCATCTTTTAACTTGTACAACAAACAAAAAGACAACAGACCTTCAGAATCACGGTGCTCCTCAAAGAGGTTGCGCAACTCCTCTTCCTCCTCTTCAGTCCATGCCGGTCTCTTTTCCTCTCTGACATATTCAGGACAACAAGATGCAATATTTCAAAAGGCAGAACCCGAGAACTAGCGATTTGGCAATACTTGTAAATCTTATTTGGCCTTTGTCTTAACAATGGTCAGCTTAAAATTAGACACAATAGTAGGCATTAAAAAAACAAGCACTAACCCTTCTTTGCTGTATCCTTCGGTCATCTCACGCACAGCACCCACATTCTTCCAGAACAGCAGCTCAGCATATGCCTTGTTGTTTTTCGCTGCCAGGGAGAAGAATCGGTTGAGCACAAACTTGGCAAAGGTCACGAGTTCCTGTGAAGAAGAGAATAAAAGTAAGCCTCCGTCTCGTCCACACTGACTTTCGATCACATATGGCTTGCTTGACAACACTGAATGTTGTTCTCATGTCATGACTGTACCCTGTAAGCAGCTGCAGCCGGGTCACTCAGGATCTTGTTGAAAAGGTTGAAGACTGACAGCTGAAAAAGCTGGGCGTCCATTTTGAGGTCGACAGCCAGGCGGTGCAGCATTCGGGCGATGCAGTGGTTTGTGTGAGGTGTGTTTTTTGAATATGTCTTTAATAAGAGGAGGTATGGACGCACAATAGTGGGCTGGGCAAACCTGCGAGGGGTGAAGGAAGATTAACACGCTCCATAAGAAAGGTCACAACACCAATATTTGGCGTTCAGTGGCAAATACTGTCACAGATTTGCTCACCTCTTGATAAAGTCTAGAAAGTCAAACTCTTTTTCAGACACCTGGATAGACTCCATCTCTTCCTCTTCTAACTCTGCTGCATCCTCCTCATACTCCTCTGCCACAGGCTCAGGAGGAGAGGTCCCTAAAATCATTTGAATACTTGTTTGATGCTGTGATAAAAAAAGATCACGTAAATATAAAACATTAATAAAACTTACTTGGCAAATTCGCATACAGGATCTGCTTAAGAAGTTCCAGCTCCTCCTCGGGGTCAACATCAGCTGAACCAAACACATCTCCCTCTGGCCACACCTCCCTGAAAATGACAAGAAATTGATTTATTATTCAATTCTAACTTTCAAATCAAATCAAGTTTTATTTATATAGCACATTTATAAACGATGTTTGGTCGAGCCAAAGTGCTGTACATAAAATAAAAATAGCCTACAGTAGAGACACTTAACAGCACAGTTTGTTCAGAATATCAGTCTGAGAAAAACGACACCCTCTATCCTTAGACCTTTGCTTATGATTGATGATTATATTTTGATATGATCGAATCACTGATTTTGCAAAAGTACATCTGACCCTTCAGTAGAGGAATAATAAGACAGCTCTTTTGTGACAAACTTTGCACAAATAAAAGTAGCCTTTAAATTGTATTCATTGTGAACCATTGAGGGAACATACACTTAAGAAAAACTAATTTTGAGTGGAGGTTTTTTTTTTTTTAAATGACTAAACATTTATTTATTCTGAGGGGTTAAGGGCATGCTGAGTCTGGCTGACCTGGCAGCTCGCAGCATCCCCAGCGCCTCCGGTCCCGTGCGAACTAGCAGCGCATCCTGCACCCGCACCATGGCCTCCGTCCTCTGGTCCTCAAGTGGAGTTTCAGATGTGGCGTCAAATGGCACGATGCCTTCAGTTAAAGACTCCGACAACTGCTCAAAGATGACAGAAAAGTAGTATTTAGTGTTGGTAAAGGTGGTCCTTTTTACTGGGAGCCAGGAGAGACTTCAATTCAATGATAGCTTTTCAATTTGTCATGTTGTTCTGATTCTTAAGAGGGTGAATCTCCCACTGACCTGAAAGCCTAAAGCCTTCAGCTCTTCCTCCACAATCTTCCAGCTCTCTACCAGAGCCTCCGGACTGGTATCTGGAGCCGGGGGCTTTTTTTTACCCTGAGACTTTCTCCGCCTAACTTTCTTTTTCTGCAGAGGTAAAAAGGACAATATTAATATTCTTAGCATCAACTAAAAACACAACATTGAGACACAATATAAACTTAGCAGAAGAACCTACCTGAACCATCAAGTTATTGCGCCCTTTGCAGAAGCGCTCCAACATGCGCATGAAGAGATGAGTGGACTCCACCAAGTCTACGAGGTAGGAGTGAGGCTGCTTGGTTTCATCATATTTCCTGAGCAGGGTCACGAAAATCTCCCTGTACTCCATCAGGTAAAAGATGTTGCCTAAAGAGTGAAGGTATTATTTAAGTAAGATATTTATATACTTAAACCCTTATACAGTAATAAGCTGTTGTGCTCATTTGTGTTCCAATTGAGCTTCGAGAAAAGGCTACCGTTCAAACTTAAAATGGCGGTCTGAAACTTACTTTTAATAACGCTGGAACTCTGACGGATGCTTTCATCCTGTGAGCGGTCCATCTCGTTTACAGTTAGCAGCAGCTCCTGATATGCCTTAAGTGCCAGGTGCATCCTAGAAAATAAGTATTTCATATCAGTCTCAGACCAACAAACAGTTGACATGTCAACCTGCTACCTGATGAGTTTCTTACCTGCGAGACCAGGACGTGGCCTCTTTGCGATCTGTAAGAAGCATCTCATAGTAGTTGGTGATGTTTCGTTCAATGTAATGGAAAGCCCGGATGGACATGGTCTCAGAAACTAAGTCAGCGCGGAAACCGTTGCCGCGGTTGAAAGCCATGAAAAAGCTGAGCGCCCAGAGGTAGTACGTCTCATCGTGTTGCTGAGTTTGCTCTCGACTTAGACTTTCCTGCAGAGGGAAAAATGAAAGTGTTTTAGAGTATTTTACTTCTATCCTTGGTAAAAGAAGGATTATTTGTGAGTCACCTATAGCGCATAAACATATTAGCTGACCTTGACAAGGTACATGAGGCGATTGTAGCAGTTCTCCAAGAAGTCCACGCAAAACTCTTGCAGGAAGAGTCGGACGTTTAAGGCGGAGCGCCGTTTGTCCTTACATTCCCGAGCCTGTCGATACCTTTTGGGAACACGTCTCACTGCTTTGCCGCTGTCATGAGTATGGTTTTTGAACTAAAAGAGAAAAAGAACATTCATATTGAAAATATATTTGAAGCATAACTGCACCAGGATCTTTTTAAGTTTCACATATAAGCTACAGGACTCAAACTCACATTATGAATATTTCTGTGATAAATCACATCATTGTCCCCAATCGCCTTGAGGCCTTGCACAACATAGGAGCCTCCAAAGCGAGAGTGTCTGAAAAAAAGACATTACACAGACGAAAAGAACAAACATTTATTTTTCAAGTTCCAGTAAATCAAACAATTCTTTAACTTTATGGGATACAAAGAAAAGCTTCCTGTATCACATCTGAAGGGGTTCTATGACATATTGCAGGGAATATACAAAAAACAAACACATTCTGGCTCTGAAATAAAGATTGCGCCGACTGTTTAAGAGCTTGATTGTACCTGGTTCCTCTCTGAAATGTGCGGGAGCGTTTTGCAGCGTGTTCCTTCTGCCTCAGTGCCTCCAGCTCCAGACCGTCTCTGTTCTTCTCCTCTGCTGAACGAGCCTGGCCGGCGCTCACCAAAGCTTCAGGCGTCTGTGAGGAAAGAAGAAGAGCTCAAACACAGAGCAACTGGAAACCTGTACGTGTGCCTCCGAGGGACTCGTCTGTCGTACCTGGTCTCTGAACATGAGGGAGATTATTTCCAACACATGCATACTCCACTGCTGCTCACTCTGGGCCGACGCCAGGAATTTGATCAGGTCATCGAAACCGCTCATGTGAATGGCCCACAGCAGCCTGTCATGGATGCTGGCATCATCATCTACTTTCTACAGGAGAGACGGGGATTAGATCAGATGATGAGATGGGGGGTAAAGTGTCATATTCTATAGGGCGAATGTAGGTGCCTCTAATATGATCACGTTGGTACAAGGTAAAGTCAGACCTTCTCTTCACAGGGGTCCGCAGGAACATGAAGCACGTTTCTGACCAGCAGCAGCATTCTCTCTATCAGCAGGTTATCCTCCTCCTGTCTCTGCTCCCAGTCCTGAAAAAGAAGGAAATTAGTCAGGATAGACAGAAAGAAACACATCGAAGGACACCAACATTGTTATGGTATAATCTAGGAAATGGATAATGGGAAAAGCAACTTTCTATTTGCTTTTTACCAGTTAAACACTCACCAGTTGTAGAAGCGTGTATAATGTCTCACTTAAAATGCCAAACACTGCTTCGCTGGCAAATGCCTGAAATTAAAGCACAGGACAGAAACAGTTAATAATTATTATGTTAAATAGTACATTTTAAACTTGAATTCAAGTTGTTATTACAGTAGTTGCACATCTTTTGACATGATAAGATCACCATACCTCTTTACAGGCTTGTAAATGAGCAGTCACTTCCAAAAAGTGATGTCTGAACACTGGGTCATCGGGGACTTTACCGAAGCAGAGCATGGCAGGTTGAGTAAGGTTGACCATGAGCCTAAAAAGATTCGAAAAGAGTCAGTAAATCTAATACCAATGTTGAATAAAACAATACTACCATTATGGCAATAATATATCTCAATATTGGGTTTATTGTATCAATAGAACCATAATATGGCATTTTAACAAATTGCTTAGTTGTCCCCCTGATATTGTAAATCTTTATGAGCATATTATTTACAAGTTCAAGCCTAATGTTCTGGTTTATACCTGATGCAGGCATCAAATAAGGCCTTGTCTTGTCCATGCTGGATGATGATAGGTAGAAGGTCGTTCTGTACAATCTGGCCAGCACCGAGTTGCTGGCGGACGTCACGTGTGTCATCTTCATGGCGTAAATACCTGATCAAGTCTTTCACACTCTCTGCAACACAGAGACCAAACAGTCAGAGAAGTACAGGAGCTTTGCATCATTATACATCGTTAAACTGTATATCATGTATTTAAGGTTGACATTTATAACATTTAGTTAAGGACACTCACTCACCTAAGCATTCAGCTTCCTTGTGATAGGTGTCTCCCTCCAGATAGCCCAGAGCACTGCACGTTGCCAAAAGATCGCAATTCATCCTGATTATGTCCAAACAGCATCAGACAGCCTGCAGAGGAAGGTTCAGTCTCATCATCAGCCACACAGTAGGATACAGTTAGACCAGGATCAACAGAGCAACTCAAAAAGATATCTTCACTGTTGTTGTGATGTTTAGGACCAGAATAATTCATCACCATTTGCTAATGGGCTTTAACCTGGACAAATCAAAACATATACATACATTTAGACAGCATGTATCTTAATACACATGACATTTAGTACATTTAGCAGCAGTTAACACATCTTAAACGGGCTCATATGTCACTTGTAGAGAGAATATCAATGGTTTATTGATATTACTTTGTTAAATGATAGATAGATAGATAGATAGACCACTCCTTGTGAAAGGATAACTGTTGTTCATGACAGGTATTTTGGTTGTAAATACATACATTGTAGAAACAAGGTGATTCATGATAAGAGTAATAACAAAAACAAGTCTGTAGGCATAAAGTGACAGTTAATATAAAGGTACACTATTAAGGGTTTATATTATACGCAGGGATACTAGCTAATGTTATGTAGCCAGTATCACTTCAGTTTATAGCAGATTGTCATATTAAATATAGATTAGGAGGAAGAAAAGCAACACGGAATAATTTACCAGATTGATTAAACGCTGTTAATCGACAGGTTCCGTGTTCAGCTGCCGTCGGTGTATAAAGTTAAAGCTTTTCCAGAAGTTATTGTTGTTGGTTAGAGGTTTCCTCTTCTGTCGGACAAGTCTCGCGCCAAGACAGCGAGCGAAAACGTAGAGAGCGGATGTAGAATGTCGTCATCATGGGTAAAATACTTCCCTGAGTTCTGTATGTCAGGCAGCGCTTTGCCAGGTTTACCAACTTTACACTGATTCTAATCAATACATTGGTGGTGTCTTGGGGAGAAAAAAGGTAAGATTAGAACCCGAGCCATGTTTTACGTTTGTGTGCGTCAGACTGAGAAATTGTGGAAAACACTTGAAAGTTTAGCTAAGGGTTCGCCTGAGAGGACATACTTAGGGTTAATGTATATGTTCTTTGAGGAAGGAGACATTATTATAAAGGATAATGAAAACTTCATAAAATTAAATTGTAATTACAAGATAACATTTACACAAATGTAACTAGTATTTGTTTGAACATTTATGTGAAATTACAATAATCCAATGTTCAATTATTTCGAGTTCACATAGTTTACTAACTTGCAACAACGTTTGCCACTTTAAATAAAATACATATATATAATGCAATATAAACAATGTAACTTGATTCTCCAACTTTCCAATCTGCTGGACAACCTGCTTTCATACAATTTAAGCCGCATGACGGTGCTCTATATTGCTTAAACAAGCACACCATTTTTGGGTCATGTAGCCTTTTACTTGGCAAGCAAATACTGGTTTTTAATAAATAGAATTAACAGTATGTGTGGTTAAGCTGGTAGGTGGTACGTACATGTATTCACTTTTTGGTTAAAGGGGTTTAACAATGTTATCAATGTTCTTCTATGGATCAAAACAGGGCTTATATAATTCAAAACAAGTTGTATGGACACTGGTCAGACAAGACAGATTTGTTCCAATTCATTTTATTTTCAGTTACTTATTAATTCACAGCATTGCAAAGCACATTCAGCAAAAGTATTTTTAGTTCTTCTTCAGCGTCAACTTTTCCTGTGTTTAACATGTGTATTACTAATCCAGATTTGTTTGTTCACACTATAAGAGGATAGCAAAGCTACTAAAACAAATGCTATTAGGTTCATTGATTCTAAATTTTTAAGGTGTGTTGACCTAAGGGCAGTGTGTGAAGTTTAAATGTTAATCACATCTCTGACACAAACCAAAATCCTTCATACTTTCTTTTTCAGCTTGTAGTTTAATACTCTGCTACAAATGATTGCACTGTAAATCAAGGCCTCAAGTGGTATGTTACTAAAATGGCTTTGCTTAGCCTGACAGATGACTGAAGTCTTTAGCAAAAGTTGGGTGGCTTAAATAGCACCAAAGTGACACCGTCTAAAGGGATTCATTCAACATTGCACTGAGAGACTCTCTGCTAGATTATTTCACACATAACTAATGGGAATGAGGACTATAGACCATGGTTGGTTTTTAAGGGGGAAGGGGGGGGGATCTCTCATTTTACTGTATTTTTTCTCTCATGGCTCTGGCCTTTCACATTTTCTTATTTGTGATTTTCTACTCCTCGTCGTCATCGTCCTTGTCGTTGCGGTCTGAGTCTCTTGGCTGCTCCCTCCTGGACTCCTTCACCACCTGATGGACAAGAAGCAATTAAGTTAAAATGTACTTTCATATGGGAGGATTAAATAACAATATAATAGCCAGTTATTGATCATTGTACCTCTCCGTCTCTAGTCTCAACTGTCTTGATCACCACACTCTTCTTGCTTGGGGTGTCTTGAGTTTGATCATAGTCTGTTATAAATCAGAGATTTTTACATTCGGGAACATTTGCAATTACAAAATAGAAGCTTTTCTGAATGCCTTTTTAAAGGATTAACCTGGTGGAAGTATCAGTTGTGATTGATCAGTGTTAAATTGTTTAGTGAAAATGATCAACTATACATTTAAAATGTTTTGTTATATTTGCAATGTTATATTTTTGAAAAAAAATAGAATTATAGCTTACCTCGCTCACTACGGTGACTGCTCATGTTCATATTGAAGCTGGGAACAGTAATCCTAAACAGGGAATACAAAATATGTGTGTTAAACAATTCATTTGTTTTGAAAAATCATTGTATTTACTTGATTTAGACCTGCATATCAATTATCTTAGGTTGGTTATTGACATAGCCTAAAGACAATACTAAAACAAAACAGTCACTTTTTTGGCATGACCTTAACATTGATGAGTTTAGTTCCTTTTACTATTACATTACACATATTCAATACACTAGTAAAGAGAGGAATCAAAAGTGGTCAAAAGAAGAAATTAAAACAGCATATATTTTAACCCGAGACACCAAATTCTCACCTGCTCTCCTCCCCCTCCAACAGTTTACGGTAAGTAGCGATCTCAATGTCCAGAGCCATTTTGACATTGAGGAGGTCCTGGTACTCCCGGAGGTGGCGAGCCATTTCATCCTTCAGGTGGTGGATCTCATCCTCCAGTCTGCCGACGTTGTCCTGGTAGTTGCCGATCTCATTGCCAAACTGATCCTCCATTTCACGCATCTGCCTCAGCAGAGATTCATTCTGAAAAACACAGCAGTACATACAGTGGGTTAAGAGGGAGAAATGTGTTTAATGATAGATACAAATACACAAATGGTGTTTGGCCTCACAGTGTTCTTCACTGCATCAACTTCACAGTTGAGTGACTGAATCTGCCTCCTGGATTCATTGGCCTCCTGCTTGGCCTGCCTCAGAGAATCAGTGTTGCGCTTTGCAGACTCAGTCAGATCATTGAACTGCAGAAACAGAAAATAAAGCACTCAATAAACATTATGAGCTTGCATGTTCATGTGTGATTGTCAGTGTCTGTCTGCCTACCTTGGACTTGTACCAGTCCTCAGATTCCTGCATGTTCTTGGAGGCAATGGTCTCATATTGGGCCCTGATGTCCCTCAGAGCACCAGTAAGGTCAGGCCTGGCAGTGCTTTCCACCTCCATCTTCAGATGCTGGGTCTGGACACTCACTTGAACGTCCTGGATTTCCTAATAAAACCAAGATGTACAACATATTGTCAGGAACACAACATTCGTATATCAACAATAAAAAAAAGCCAGTTTATCCAAGTACACCTCATAGGTATCCTCCAGGGTTCAGTTTTGGGCCCCCTACTTTTTCTACACAAGGACATTTTGTTAAGATAATCTTGTCTTCCAGATATTGATGCCTGTTCTTGTAGACAAGCTCTTACAGACCGATATTCTTTTCATCATCATATCAAATGCAGGCTAAAGTTCCACGCTTGAATATCTGAATTGAAAACGTTTTGGTATTTACGCTCTTAACATTTTGCTTATAGGTGTCAAAAGTGCCAGTGGTATAGACCTATGCATTTAACATAACAAAAGATAAACATCCTATTTAAATGTGAACATGCAAAAAAAATAGGGCTATCATTATTGGTCTCTAGATAATATACTGTGACCGGTGACTCCTGTAAAGATAACTTTCACATTGAGCATCACTCACCTCATCATGGAGCTTCTTAAGGAATTCGATCTCATCCATCAGAGACTCAATCTTCCTCTCCAGCTCCAGACGGGACAATGTGGCATCGTCCACATCCTGTTTTCAAAAAAAATATGAAACAAACATCATTTGTATTGCCATTACTGAAATGTCATTCATTGATCCAACATACTCAATAAAACATGATATTAAAGTCCCTCAAGGAATACATTTAAAAACCCTGAAATAATTAGTTCTGTGCATAGAAACATTTTGAGGTATGATGTGCTATGCTCAATTAACCTAAAGATAAGAGATGAGGCCTCAGAGGTAAAACATTTCGATACAAAAGCAGATTCCTGTCATTTAAGAAGTATGCCCTGTCATTCTACAGTGTCAGTGCAATAGTTGGAGATCGAGCTGTCCATTTGACCTGTTATCTGAGCCTGAGGACACAAATCAACAAGGTTACATGGTGCAGTGAGCTGAGCATTTACCTTGCGGAAGGCAACCAGGTTACCCTCAGCATCTGCCCTCTTCTGGACTTCTTCATCCATCCTTGAGGACAAAAGAGAAAGACAAAATGTTTCAAACAATGTGTTGATAACCTTCAGGCTCCAATAGACAAAAGAGAGGAGAGTGAGTGGGTCAAATCTGTCCAAGAACAACCTTTCTGTGTAAGGTTGCTCCGGGGCATCAGCTGGCAAAAGCTTTCTGGATCAATTTGGTAATTCCCTGTCCTGTAAAAAGGTTTTTGGAGTGCACCCAGTGGGAACAGCAGCTGCTCCTTTCAGCTAATGTGTCTTTGCAGTTCAATAAGGTCATCTGCACACACTTAATAAGGTTACATACACACACTTTCCATCTCTTTTAAATATTTAAATTGTCAATATTGACTAGTGAACTGTATGATGGGACAAAAAAGGAAAAGTAAAAATCATTTGAGTGAGACATTTGTGGACAGTCAAAATGCCATTTGATGCTCCTGCAAAAACAAACTTAATGAAATGAAAACAAAGTATTGTTGAATGCTAAAGCAAATCCAGTTTCAATCCTTGAGTCCTGTAATGAATCATCACAAATTGCATCACATTGTACAGTACCAACATCCCCTTTCGCTGACTGATGGGCTCCATCTGTCCTGTCAGACAGATGCCATGTCTGGAGTGGACATAAAGTAGATTAGTGGGGAAAGCATCACATAGTAGGCCCGGCTCCCTCATCTTTAATTCATGTAGTTTTACAGGGGCCCTTTTCCTAATGGGGTCTCTGGCACCATCCCATAAACACAAAGGGCCACTGAAAAATACACCTAATGGAGTCACATTGATTTTTCCTAGCGCTGTTCTCACTGTGCCTGATATCCAACCTCTCTTCCTCCTCTCTCTCTCTCCCCCTCCCACTCCTCAGCCGGCCCCACCCTGTGTCTGGTCCATCTATTCTCATTTCAGTCATTTGTTTGTACATACACAATGTCAATATGATTATTAAAGGGAACCCAGTCCTTTATCTAACTGGGCAACAAGTACGGTTGATTTTCCTGTGGGTTACTTTTCTGTCACATTTCGAGGCTCTTCTTCTTGATGAATCCTGCTAGTGCACAAGTGATTCATTTAACTCTCGTACATAGAAAACACTCTCATGCGCATGATGCAGTCCAGTGTCCTGTATCATGCAGCCGCTCTGTGGTGTCCAGTCTGCAAATGTGCCACGCCCTGCACCACCATAATTCCTTAAGTGACAAACGCCCAAGGACGCTCCACCTTCTCTGTGCTTAAAGTAAATCATGAGCAGTACATTTTAACAGCGTCAATTAATTAAGTGATGGTGACACTGCCGGAATCGACAAAAGATCTGCACACCGTTTTGGAGCTCAGAGTATTTTTTATCCGTGCAACATTTTCCCTTTTCTTTTTTAAATTCTAAAATGTTGATCTGACAGAGATCTTTGTCTGATTATTGGTCAAATCCAAGAGACAATGCTTGGCGAAAACTGTTTGATCAAAAACTTGTATTTTTTTATCCAGCATCGTTAAAGTTTTATCTATGGTGACACCAACGGAGCACCAACGGTACTAAATGTATATGACGGACAACCCTTGAATAGGAGAACATTTAAGTTAAGAGATACCTTTGACTTGGGAGGGACAATATCATGTATTAGAAATAGGATGCAACTTTCTCTGTAGCCAGATGTATCCCCTCTATCTGTCTATCTGTCTATCCGTCTTACCATCTATCTATCTATCTATCTATCTATCTATCTATCTATCTATCTATCTATCTATCTATCTATCTATCTATCTATCTATCTATCTATCTATCTATCTATCTATCTATCTATCTATCTATCTATCTATCTATCTATCTATCTATCTATCTATCTATCTATCTATCTATCTATCTATCTATCTATCTATCTATCTATCTATCTATCTATCTATCCATCTATCCATCTATCTATACTTTATCATATGGTTCTTTCTCATCTTGTTGGTACCAACCTCTGCCTGAGCTGGACCAGGTCCTCAGCCAGGTTGTCCCTCTCCATCAGGTACTGGTCCCTCTCTTTGCCGGTGGCGTCCAGTTGGCGGCGCAGGTCCCTCACCTCTTCCTGGAAGAGCTCGGAGGCTCGGTTGGGCTGACCTTGCTGCTGCTGGCCCTTGAACACGTTAAGCTCCTGCTGCAGTGAGCCATTCTGCTGCTCCAGGTAACGCACCTTATCGATGAAGCTGGCAAAGCGGTCGTTGAGCTCCTGCAGCTCGGCCTTCTCGTTGCTGCGGGTCGTCAGGAACTCCGCGTTGATGGCCTCAGACAAGGTGAAGTCCACCTTGTCGTAGGAGATGCGAGGGGGCTGGGAGACGGTGCGAGTGCGCTGTTGGTGGTAGTTGTTGGGGCGGGATGCAACCCCAGGTGACATTGAACGCATATAGCGCCCACCCGAAGCGGGCATACGGGAGTTCACAGGGGAGTAAGAGGACATGGAGATGGGGTGTGGGCTCCCAAAGGTACGCCTGTAGGACGTTGAGGCATGCATCGAAGAGTGGCTCATGGCTGGTCTTGTTCTGTGGCTGCAGGAAGAAGGAGAGCTGGAGGCTTGGAGATGCTCTGGAAGCAACAGGACATCAGACTGTAGAGTGCTGCGGGTATTTATGCACACAGGCAAGCTATCCCATCATCCTCACCCCCCCCCCCCTCCTCATTTCTCCTCACCCCACCCACATGAAGCCTTGCTTTCTCAATCAGCATTGGCCACTCCCTACCCTTCAGAGATAGACCCTGCCTTTCTCTGTCTTACTATCTGTCTTGACAGCTCCACCCTTTTAACCAGAGACTTGGCAGGAGACCAAACTCACTTCCACATTATGCCGCCTTGATATCTAAAGATGTCTCCTCCATCCAGCCCCTCCCGTCTCACTGAAATAACCTCGTTGACACTCAGTTTTGATTCTCATTTCTCAAAAATGATTATATGCTCTTGCATGCACATGAGTGTTCTCAACTTTACCATCACATCTGTGCCTTAACGATTGTGTTACCTGGTTCTCAATAAGAAACTGTGAAATCTTAGCCTAAGTTGAATCACGTGGATACATTGATTTAATTCTTTCCTCCCCTCCACCCGTCTCCTTCCTCTCCTCTCTGTCTCTCTCTCCTTTTACAGTAATGGAACACTTTATTGATATTCAGGGAGTCTGGGGCAGCGCCATGACTCTGCAGTTATTCTATCCCTTTCAAATGCACTTGATCCAGTAATCCCTGTTAGCAGAGTAGGAGTTGTCCAAGAACTTTGTCAGGATTTCAGGTTAATAATGGGTTTCTGGCACATTCTAAATCAGGACCCAAAGACAACAGATGTGAAAGAATACAAAAACCCAGTGCACATGATTAACAGTTGGAAGAAATTATCAAAATATTTATTGTTTGAGTTGAATATATTTTTGAATACAACCTTATTGCACCTTTAATGGGACATCCTTCTAAGCTTCTAAAACCATTTAGATCCTTCTACCATCCTATAGATTCAGATGTTGGAGAAAATGTCACATAAGTATTGGTGATGCAGAATGTGTGTGTGTGTGTGTGTGTGTGTGTGTGTGTGTGTGTGTGTGTGTGTGTGTGTGTGTGTGTGTGTGTGTGCGTGCGTGTGTGTGCGTGCGCATGTGTGTGTGTGTGCGCGCGTGTGTGTGTGTGTGTGTGTGTGTGTGTGTGTGTGTGTGTGTGTGTGCATGCGTGCGTGCGTGTGGTCCAAAGTGATTATAATTCAGGACTGCAGACAGGCTAGCACTTTCATATAAAGTTGATGTAATTCTGAGCATGCTCTGTGGCGACTGGGCGTGCCACTTTATTTCCTTTGTGTCCCAAGTGATGCTTGGTGCCTTGTATGTCTTGTATGTAATACAAAACAAATATTTACCATATTGGGTCATATTTCTTTCTCTTTCATATACAAATGTACAACCAGCAGGGTTTCTTTAACTTGTACTCATCACTTTTTGGAATTACATTTATCTTTGGGTTTATTCTTACTGATGGAGCATGTGGAGCTCACAGTCGTAAAAGTGCAGTTATCTCTCCGTCATTCACAAACACACACTTACACACCCGGTTGTCCTCCTTCTTTGTCTGCATGGCTGTGAGGCCTGGCTCTCTGCGTAATAAATGGCCCATGTTAGTCTTAGCCTTGTAATCTAATCAACCTGCTCCATGGTCAGTATACTCTCTCCTCCCTCCCCCACTGTCTCACCCTCAGCCTCACTCTCTGTGCTTCCTATCCCCACCCCATATCCTGCCCCAATCTTTCCATGTGTCAAGGTTTCTTAGTGATAAGTAGACTATCTGCATTTTTACGCTTTAATAAGTAATGATACCTTTATTTATATAGCACTTTTGAACACAGAGCTCCCCAAGTGCAGACAAAACCAAAGCAGGACAAAAAATGATGATGAAGGATTAAACTGTAAGAGATGTAAACAGTACATTCAAAAAGCCATCGCATAAAAGCAAGTCTATCAAAATGTGAAACAGCATTTCCAGTGTGTATGCCAGACAGAAAACACACACACACACACAGCACAGCAGTTGAATGGTTTTGAACTGGACTGTATCAGTTACTAAAACCATCAGCCAGATGTTACTATTGGTGATTGATCCGACTGGTCCTCGGAGAATACCCTGAGGGGCCATACATCCTATCACACTTCTTGGACAGTGTCAGATATCTCTTGCACATAATCTCAAAGTATATGTATACTGTTTCAAACCTAAACAGGCATATACATCAGTCATACATAAAATAAATAAAAGGAATATATTTATTTATTATTTTATTTTAGGGGGATTTAGCAAATGTTTTTTGGTCACATGTTTTTGTGACCAACTTTTTATTGTTTTGTTTTTAATTTGTTAATTAAATAATTACATCTGATTGACACTTTATTCAATTAGGATGTTTATTATGTGTATTGTTTAGTCTGGTTGGGTTGAGGTTCACTTGGGACACATGATGTTACCAATTTGTCCTGCGGCCACACTGATTGCAGAGGTAGGTTTCTGCAGGGTAGAGGACGGACAAAGGAAATTGCATCCCTTTTTAGATCAGTTGCTAGGGAGTGGTTAGCAATAATGAGTTGCTCAAATTAATCAAGCCTTTTTATTTGCTTGTGTGACTCATGTTCACGTTTTATGTGGAGAGAGAACTCAAGACGTGTAAATGTCTGGCCGGGTAATCTGGGGAAAAAATCTAATACCTGGAGCTTTGTATCAGATCAGCCCGTTTGATCGGGAGAAGTGATGAGGATGCTGTGATCCGGGAGAGCTGTCAGCTCCAAGATAAAGATCCTCATATGAAACATGATGTCCTTCCAGCGATGCTGTGGGGCTTGGCTCGGCTGCAGTGCTCGTCCGGAGTGAGTTGAGTTGGCTGCACACACTCTGTACATGTGAACGAGAGACACGTAAAAGGTGGAGGATAATTAAAGGCTTGGTTTGTGTCATTAGTGTAATGGAGCACTGCAGTGCTACACAAGTATGTTGGTAGCAGGGATGTGCATTAGCCAGGGCTAATTTAGCTTGAGTACGTTTTGCAGATTTAGGGTTACCATCCAGACATGAACCGCACAAAACAACGCATGTATTCAGAAAAAAAACGGGATTAAACTGGATTGCTTTTGACTTGGTGACAGTATAGGTTGGCAATGTTTATCAATGTCATTAGTCCTTAAGATGTAAGGCTATTTCTATTTTGTTAAATTACCTTATTTTAGACTATTAGGACATGTTGAAGGGTAATACCTCAATTATGTTTTTTAGCTACTCAACAAGTCAGTGCTCGTCTCTGGTTTTCGGTAAACGTACCTATTTATTTATGTAAATAAATAGTGAGGCAGAGAAAAGGACCTTGGTGATCTTGCATAAGTTAAAAAACACCAATAGTGGTGTTTTCTCTTGATATCCCGAAAAGTCTTGTGGATAAATGTGGATGATATGCTCCTGTTTTATCTCGTATTTTACTCTCCACAGACGTATGTTTCCACGCTCAAGCCATCAGAAATTGGACAAAAAGTTAAATTCGGCCAAACTCACATTAAGGAATAATAGCACCTTTTCCACCTTTACTTAGAGGCTTGAATGCAAACCATCTCTACTTTTCTTCCCTATCACTGCACATATATGTTTCTGCTGTGTAAGCCAAGCCATGTAGTTTCCATTAAAGATTTTGCTGCATTGACGTCATCCTTTTTCTGGCACTGCAGTGTATCATGTGTATGTTACCACCGGCAGCTCTTTGCCAGTTCAATGCATGGATGTATCCTGCGACATCATAATAAATCTCTTTAATTGAGCAGGTAGCAGAACGCTAGTATTTTCTTTAGCACACTCAGCTGCAGTGTTCCTGTAACCACACCACTTCATGAATGCATAGGAGACCTGTAAACCGTTATTGACATGCCTGTACATCTTTTATTCAGTGGTTTGCTGAAGGCCAAAACAGGCATCTTGTGTTGATTTTAAAATATTCAACTTTGTGATGGTGTTTTGTCCAAAAAAGTGTATCTCTAACTTCTAATTTTATTTCATTTGTGGCGTAATCTAAAATATGAATCCTATTTCACTAATTTGACCATGTTATGATAATAAAACTTTTATGTATACAGCACATAAGCACTAAAGAGCTAAGTGCTAAGCAACTAAATATAAAATAGCAAGCAAGAGACAGAGCAACGGACTGGAAATGCGGACATCAATCCTAATGCACACAATTCTAAAACAACAAAGAAAAGGCAAATGTTAACAAATCAGTCTTGAGCTGCTTGGGCAAAAGTTTGGCAGCAGCATTTTGGAAATCTTGTTGCGATTTAAGGAATTTTTGCTGAGGCATGGGGCAAAGATAATAACAGCAGTTAAGACTGACGTAAATTAATAAGTAAAGAGAGTCATCATTTCCAACTTAGCTGTGCAAAGGGCCCACGTTTAGCAATGCTCCTCAGCTGGTACAAACAGGATTAAACCAAACAATTAACATGCTGGTTAAAGCTCAAAGCCTGGTTTAAATATTAAGTTAAACCGGCATCTGTTAATTAGGTTTGTTGCCACTTGGGGGCATTGCAAAAATGTATCACTTTTTAAAGTTAAGCTTAATATTTTAACAAACAGTTGACCATACATCCAACAGATATGGAGGTATATGCATTCACATTAAGTTCTATTGCTCGCCATCTGATCAATGCATGTCAATTTATAACTCATTTTAAGTTTATCTTTGCTCTCGACCAACAGAAATATTTTTGTCTCTGGAAGCACTATACAGTTTGTCAGAGCCATTTTCTCAAAAACAGCTGCCTGCTGCTGAAACCAATAGTGGTGAGTGAAACAAAACAGTACTGTCGTACTGCATGCTGGATTAATCAATTTCTTATTATTCTTTCCATTGTGTTGTATTTATGTTGATTGATAATTACTTTATTTTTCTCTCAAACTGTTCCCATAACATCCCATGTGTAACATACTGTACTGTACATGCAAATGATTACAAATGAATGGAGGGACTACAAAAACTTGTTGGTGATAAAGTTCAACT